GGGAGCCCAGGGATGGGGGTCTGAGGAAGGCCAGGGGCAGAAGGGGCTGTCGGCTATGGGAAGGGGCCATGGTCCTCCAGGGAGGCTCCTCCCAGTGGGGCCTGGCAAACTTGGGTTTGCTGTAGAGGAGAATGGCTCATAATTCACCAGGTGTGCAGTCCCTGTCAAAGTGCCATCTCTCTCAGATCACATAGCGTCCCCAACCCCATTCAGATAGATGCTCATGTCCTCAGGCCCCCAGACATGCCACACCAGGGAACTCAAAACAGGGAGAAGGGAGTTTAAAGGAGGCCCCTGGACTTGCTCCCAGGCCTAGGGAAAATCACTGAGAGATCATATTTGTCAAAGTAAGGCCTGCAGAGTAGGTAGGCCTATTCCAGGTAGGTCGGGGTTAGCCATGGAGGGGTCCTAACAAGACGAGTAGAAATGAGTGTCAGAACCCCAGAGCATGGTGACCTCCCAAGTTGAAAAGCCCAAGGGGACCCCTTTGCCTAGATGGGAGAGGCCGGCTCTGAGGCCCAGCCCTTGTGGAAATCAGACACCAGGGAGGGGAACTGAAGGTGGCTGGGTTGCACAGGCTGGCCGCTCCCTACTCATGCAGACCCCAGGTGCAGACATCAGCCACGGGGCAGCAGATCATTTCTAGGCCCCACTGGTAAGCAGAAGTTCCCACGGTGTCCCTCAAGGCTGTGCCTTCAGGGATCAATGCCAATGTTAATAGTTAGAGAGCAAGGGCTGGTATCTGCCCACGAGGGCCCCTGACAACATCAGGGTGAGTTTTGGGCCACGTCCCAGGCCAAGGATGCATGTCCTTGGGCAGGGCAGGGCGCTGTCCTCAGACTTCCCTTCTCCACCCCGGTGGCCGCCCACTTCAGGACAGCCCCACCAGGGCCAGATGCTCAAGCTGGGAGCAGAACAGAGGATGGACAATTGGTGAGAGGCCCACAGGGTCACTTGCCTCTCTACCCGGCTTCTCTTTCAGCCCCCTGTGGGGGACAGTATGTGGGTTCAGACGGAGTGGTCTTGTCCCCCAACTACCCACAGAACTACACCAGTGGACAGACCTGCTTGTATTTTGTCACCGTGCCCAAGGACTATGGTATGAGGTTTTTTTGTTTATGTTCTCTGACTCTTCTCCCTCCTTCCAAAATGGGCAACTCCTCAGGTCCTTCCCAATTATCCCCTCCCATCGTGGGAACAGCAGAACAGTCTCCCAAATAGAGCAGCCGAGTGCTGATGCTCTGAAGCAAGCTGCGGAATACATTCCCGACACAGAGGGAAGACGGGCACACGTGGGCCCCGTCGGGACCAAGGAGGCAGAGCTGGTGAGAGAATGGCCAGGACAGAAGGAAGGCAACGTGCCCTTGGGGGCTACCAGCACGGCCCAGGTCCAAATGGAGCTGCTGCAGACCTGGGCCTGTTGAGACCCAGGGGCAGGCAGCCAAGAAGCAGGAAGGAAGAAAGGAATGGGATGGAGCTGGGCCGGAAAGTGCAGGTGAGGGAGATGGAATCATGTCATTCTGGTGTCCCATCTGAGAACCAGAGCCTGGTCCAGGAGCTATAGGTAGGCCAAACAAGAAAAGAGCAAGGAGCAGGCCAGTGCCCTGAGAAGAGAGAGAACCCTCCAGATTCCACGAGACGCAGGTGGAAAGAACCAGGCTTATTACCTCGTTGGCAGTGGAGATATACAAGAGTCCTGCCAGCCCTGTAGGTTTCAAGAAGATCTTGAAAAGCTACCAGGGGACTGGCCTGGGCTGCTCTCTCCCTGGGTCTCCTCCCTGTAGGAGGACTAACGAGTATGTCTAAACACGGTTGGTGTTGGGTGTGGCAAAGGGCATCAGTATTTCCTAATCACCTAGGACAGGCTTGGGGCAGCCTACGGAGACCTGGATGCTTATTCCCAAAGATGGGATGGGCAAGCACAGGCCCCAGCCTGATGCTTGAGTCGTTCACCAGACACTCAGTAAGCACCTATCGGGGGCCATGTACTTGGCTAGGTCCTTGGGCTACAGAGATGAGCGAGGCATGTCCCTGCCCTCTATAAATTCCCGGTCTCATCTTCCCCCATAGCTCCAGCCATCAGTGCACCCACTCCTGCCCCAGCACCTGCACACTTACATGCACAGGCACACACTCCCCAACATACTGATGTCGCAGGAGTTTTAGATATGCTGGATCACAGTAAGAAAAGTCCCGAAAGGTTGTCCAATCTGATCTGCTACCCAGAGCAGAATCCTTGATAGGTGGGCATGCAGTTTGTGTTTGAATTCCTCCAGTGGTGAGGAGCTCATGCCTTTGCAAGCAGCCAACCCCAAGGCTGGTCAGTGGCATTGAGCTGAAAGCTGCATGTGGACATCTGTCCCAAGCATCTTCTCTTTGCCAATGATGCTGAGCCCAGGGATGGGGGGCAGATTTTTCCCTCTGGGTCTGACTTGAGCCCCAGCGCAGATCTCAGCATTAGCATCATCGTCTCAGAGGTCTTTCTTTGATTCCCCATCTAAAGTGGCCTGCCTCACCCCATCGTTCTATCCATATGCCCAGAACTTAACACTAGCCGAAATTATCTTGTCTATTTGCATAAGCATTTGGTTGAATTTTGGGGGAGGTTTTGGCTGTCTCTTCCCACTAGAATGTATAGTCTCTGAATGCAGGGACCCTGCTTATCCTGTTCGCCACTCAAGAGGAGAGGACAGAGATACCCCTGCCACCAGCCCTGACTCAGTATCCACTTTCAGGGTGCGGACATGTGCTCTTCCTCCTGCTTTTCTGCCCGCGATTTGAGAACTAAGAATCTTTCATTCCATTCACTACTGTATTCAACGTTGCAAATGCTTTTTTATCAGGCAGTCAACTCCATGGCGTAAGTCCCTCTCTGCTCTGACATGTGTGTGCACTAACACAACACACACACAATATGCATATGTGCACACAACATACACATGTACACACAATATACACAATGCACACACAACACATGCCCACACAACATATACAACATACAACATACACACAATACACACATCATATACATGACACATGTGAGCACA